ATTCTCCTGCCTCAGCCTCCTGAGTAGCTGGGATTACAGGTGCATGTCACCAAGCCCAGCTAATTTTTGTTTTTTAGTAGAGTCAGGGTTTCACCATGTTGGCTGCGTTGGTCTCAAACTCCTGACCTCAGGTGATCCACCCACCTCAGCCTCCCAAAGTGCTGGGATTATAGGCATGAGCCACCATGCCTGGCCTGATACAGCCGATTTTACTTTTTTTTAACTTTTCCTTTTCCTGAGACGGAGTCTTGCTCTGTCTCCCAGGATGGAGTGCAGTAGCGCAATCTTGGCTCACTGCAGCCTCCTCCTCCCGGGTTCAAGCTATTCTCCTGCCTCTGCCTCCCCAATAGCTGGGATTACAGTCATGTGCCACCACACCCAGCTAATTTTTACATTTTTAGTAGGGACAGGACTTCAGCATGTTGGCCAGGCAGGTCTTGAACTCCTGACCTCAGGTGATCTATCTTGGTCTCCCAAAGTGCTGGGATTACAGGCATGAGCCACTGTGCCCAGCGATACAGCTGATTTTAAAAAGAGAGGATATTACATCTCTCAGACGATAGGAAAAATGAAAGGGAAGAAATAATCAAATAGGAAAAACGAAGAAAATCACTGGTCTCTATCTCTATTTCCACAGAATGAATGAGCTTTTTGAATCTTCAAAACACCAAGATAGAATCCCAAAGTACTTACAAAGCAATGGAAATTAGATTTACAATAGATTTTTTAGCAATAAAACTGGATGCAAAGTCTATGGAACAATGCCTTCAGGGACCTAAGGGGATTTGACTTTGAACCTAGGATTCAAAGTACGTAGTCAATTAAGGTACACCACAGTCAAATTTAAAAATGGAATAAAAAATTAGGCCTCTGTACACACCAAGGCCTGTGAGGGTTGACCCTCCAGCCTTTTTGATGTCAGCTCCTTTCGCCCTTCCATTACCATCCCGTTGGGCTGTTCCTTTTAAATTCTAAACTCTTCCACCTCAGGCCTTTGCACTTTCCTTCTGCCTGGATGTTCTCCCAAATATATGCATGGCTTCATCCCTCACCTTTTCTGGTCTCTGCTTAACTGTTAGTTTGGCCTTTTCTTTTTTTTTTTTTTGAGACGGAGTCTCGCTCTGTCGCCCAGGCTGGAGTGCAGTGGTGCGATCTTGGCTCGCTGCAAGCTTAGTTTGGCCTTTCTTAATTGCCCAACATGAAACAGCATCCTGCCAGTATTCTGTATCTCCCTGCCCTTTTAACTTTTTTTCCATGGCATCCATCACTACTCAAGACACTACAGATACCTGTTCTCATTTGCTTAGTCTGTCTCTCTCCATAAGAAAGCAGATCCACGAATGCAGGGACTCAGTCTGCCTTATTCACTGCTGCCTGCCCCATGCCTATACCACGCCTGGCCAGGGGAGGTGCCCCATCAGTGATTGTCAATGACTGAATGAAACTGTGAGCTAACTCTTAGATCCATACCTTCTCCCGTCCCCCACCAATCTGTTCCTTTCCTGATTTAATCAATGGTTCCGGCATCCATTTTTTGCAGCTACACCTGGAGGTGCCACATGTTCATTACGCTCTTTCCTTCCACATTCAACCACCCATCAAATCTTATTAGTTCTGCCTCCAAAATACATCTTGAACCTGTCTCCTTTCTCCTCTCCATGGCCACCACACTGATCCAAGTCACCTTCATCTCTTCCTGGGACTGTTACAGAAGATACTCCCTGATTGTTTTTCTATTTTAGTTCATGACACCTCTGCGCCAACTCTGCCAAGAAGAAAACGCTAGCTCCTCGAAAGGTCTCTGTGGTCCACCTCCTGCCTCATCTCATACCACCCTCTCCTTTTGCCCTCTATGTGCCAGTCACAGTGGCTTCAAACAAATCAAACACTCTTTACTTTTACTCTCACTTCTACTAGGAAACACTTTCTCCAGGTTTCTATATGGCCGTCTCACTCTTCTCCTTGGGTTTCATCTGCAGTGTCCTCTCACGAGGCCTTCTCTGGTCACTCCTTCCCAGGCACTCTCATCTGAAGACCCTGCTTATTTCCTTCTTAGTCTGAATCTAGTCTGAAAATATTTTGTTGACCTAACTGCCTCCCTGCTTATGTGTGCATCCCTACCAGACTGAGCTCCATGAAGGCAGGGAAGTACCTTCCGTCTTTTGTCTTTACAACCAAGCCCAGAGCCCGTGCAGGCAGCCTCCCTCAGCATACGCATGTGGAGGAGCACTCTGTGGCTCCTGATGTCCAGGGCCCACCTCCTGCCAGGTTCTGGAGGGCAGGCATGTCACCCTCTCACTGATGCTGGGACCTGAGGCTGGGTGCTGGAGAAGTCTAACGGGACACAATTCAAAGCCCTTTGGCTTATTTAAAAAATCTCCACCTTCATGTTTCAAGAAAGAATTCTTGCAGCAACAATGAAAGAAGCACCTACCACTACTGTTGACTCCCACTGGCTTCCAGTGGAGTAGTGAACCGGACCCAGTAAGTCCTTGCATATTTCTCGAAGTCGGTATTCAAACCCTAATTATAGAAAAACAAACAAACAAACAAAAAAACAAAACAGAAATAGGAACACATTACAAAAAGAAATAAAAATCAAGAATATGCTATGTTGTTGTGTCTATCAAATCAGAATAAACACATGCGTATTTTATTGCCTACTACGGGCAAGATACCCCTGCATGTCTCTCAGTGTGGGGCACTGAGACCCTTCACAGATTTTCACTCATTTGCTCACTCCCCTGACGACATCTGTAGTACCTTCTCTGTGTGTTGCGCCCAGAGGAAAAACGAGATGTGGCCAATTCTGTGATAAACTCCTTAAGGTGATGGGAAAATATGGGAAATTGTGGGCTGGTAAGATCTGTCTTTGAGAATATGGGCTGGCAACTGGTGTTAAGAGGAGGTCAGGAAGGTGGGGAGGCCAGCTCGCAGGAGGTAAGAGATGGCAAAGGTATGACTGAGGAGGGGCAACTGAGTGGAGGGGGCATAGGCCCATTAACTCAAGGGTTATGGGCATCACCCAGTAGGGTTGCTAGAAAGGCTGGAGGTAGAGTGTCGGGGTTTGTCAGCACTTGGGGCAGCTAAAGCAATAGCGAATGGATTAAATTGTCCAAAGAAAAGGGTGGAGTAAGAGAGGCAAAACTGGAATCTGAGGAATTTTGGAAGTGAATGGGGTCCACTTTTACACTAGATTCTTCCTTTTACAGCCAAGGAAACAAGGGACAGAATGGAAGATGGGTAACTGGTGTATGGACACTGGAACAGGCATGTGGAGGATGGAGAAAGAGAAGCAAGCAGCAGAAGTGATCCCAAGATGGGTGGCAGGGCCGACAGGAGGTAGGGACTTGATGTAGGGCATCAGAGCAAGTCCCAATCAACACCTAGGATGAAGCAAACCAGAGTGGAGTAAGAGGAGGGGCTCCCAGGGAAGATGTGACTAGAGCACCACAGGAGAGGTATGAGGGCCTGGGAAGGCTGAGTATTCAGAAAAGCTGGGGACCACACATAATGGCAACCACATAGACCTGGTGGGAAGAGTAAACATCAAATTCATCATTGTGGTCTGCAGGGAGGGAGGGGAGGCTTCAAGCTGATCAGTAATATTTGCTGTCATTTACAAGTGTATGTACACCCACACATACACACTCATATTTACACAGCCAGAGGCACATATGACATATTAGTTCTGGGAATTACATTCGTGAAGGTCTGATTATGATTTTCTCTGTCTTTTCTGTACTTGATTTTTTTTCTAAATTATAATCAAAATGGGGAGGGTGATGACAAAAATAAAGCAAAAAGGCCAGGAAGCAGCACAGGAAGAGCTCTGGGAGGGCCTGCCCATGCTGCACCCTGAAGGCTGTACTCAAGTGGGAGGAAAAGCTGGTAAGGCTGTTGGAGTCACTGTAAGGACAGTGCAGCCACCTCTTCCAGCATACCTGGCTTTCTGCAGGGGAGGCAGCAGAGTGAGAGCTCTGGCAGGAAGCACCAGGAATGGAGGGCCTCAGTAAGTGCAGGACATCAGGCAAGCCTGTTCAGGGCAGGAGGGGCTGGGAGGAGGAAGAGAACCACTGCTACAAGATGCCCTCACTGATGAGCAGCACTGCCAAGGTGTGGTGCAGGGCAGGAGCCAGAACACAGAATCTACTCCTTTAGGCCATGTCTTTCCACCCAGGCATCTATTCCACCCTCCTGTGGCCTGTCCTGCTGCTCCTCTGTGGGAACACCCTCAGGGCCACTCTATTCAGAGCCTCAGAGCCTATTAAGGGGCTGGGTGCCTGCTGAGCTGCCTTAATTGCAGCTCAGGCTGGGAGGTAGAGGCTGCTGGGCCCACCTTGTTGATGGGAGAGCAGCAGGCTGGGATCTGGGCCATCACACCTTTTCCCTGATTTCACAGGGACTAAGCCAGGCCTGGGAGGATGGAGGGGCAGAAGGAGAAAGCTGCTTAGGGCTGCCAAGAGCCTCACCTTCGTTTACGAGGTACCGTGCGTAAAGGAGGAGCCAATGGCGGTACTCGTGGCTGGACTGCAGGGTGAGTGCTGCTGCCACCTGGTTCTCTAGGTAGGCCAGGGTGGTCTCTTGCTGCACCACATGAGGCACGGAGAAGAGCCGGGCAGCCTGCCTTCCCGAGCTGCAGAGACCAGGAGAGTTTCCATGATGAGGCAGCAGGCACTACAGAGTCAGGAACTGCCCCCATGTGCAACAGGCAAGGAGCTGGCAGGAGGCAGGCACCAGGGCTGCCAAGGCCTCCTGTCCACTAGCTAGTCTGTTGGCAGATGCCAGATCTGTTGTCTGCCCATCCCCACATCCCAGCCATGTGCCTCCTGGCACCCTTGGGGTATCTCACCCAGCACCTGCCATCTGGGCCCCTGAAGTGACAGGGCCAGTGACTGCTGCCCCCAACCCCAAGATATTACCTGATGCAGGACCACTACCCTCAGCACCCCTAGTCTGTCCTGCCCAGCCTGCCTGTGCTGACCAGCACCTGGGGCACAGGGGAAGGGCAGGTGGATACAAGGCCTGGGTAGGGACTATGTGTGCACTGACCCAGTCACTTCCCCAGGGCAGGACTAAGGACAGAGGCCATGGCACTGGGGTCACGTACTTGGAGGTGCGGCCCTGGATTATGGCTAATGGTCCTGAGCACAGCATGGCGTCCTGGGATGGCAGGCTGCTCCTAAAGTCTGCACACTGAGCCAGTGAGTCCTGCTTGTCAGAAACCAGGTTCCTGGGGAGGCAAAGGCAGGAGCAGAGCTCAGGAAAACCAAGAGATCTACCAGAGGAGGCTGGCAAGGAGGCCACAGAGAAGCAGCCCCTATCGACACAAAGCCAGCAGAGGCTGAGCGCCCCTGCACTTCCGCACAGGCGCCTATCACTGACAGGTTTCATGGTAATGGGTCTGATGGATCATTGTTCCCGAGGAAAAATGAATGAGGTGAAGGCTGTGGATAGGGCCCTTGCTGGGAACACTTCAGCTCCATATGTTGGTTCCTGATGACTGCAGGCCTCTGAGTGCAGTGTGCTCTGATGCTCGGCTCAAATACTGCCATGGTCTGCCCAGGGGCCCACATGGCCTGCGTCCTGTAGCTGGGGAGTAATGCCAGGCCTCTACCTGCCTTTATTTCTACAACTATCCCAGATTGGCAGTCCTTCCACCTACTCTGGACCCTTTTCATCCTTGTGAAGAAAAGACTCTTCACACACTTTTAGAACAGCTGGATGTCTTCGTAAATGTGTCCAAAATACAAAGATGCCTATAGAGAGTCAATATTTCTCTTCTTAAATAATCAGCTTATTTCCATTATTACAGCAATCACATATAATAGACAACATTTTGCAATTTGGGGGAGCAGGCAGTGGAGGTTTTTTTTTCCTTTGAGACAGGGTCTCACTCTTTTGTCCAGGCTGGAGTGCAGTAGTGTGATTATGGCTCACTGCAGCCTTGACCTCCTGGGCTCAAGGGATCTTGTGCTTCAGCTTCCCAAGCAGCTGGGACTACAGATGTCTGCCACTGCACCAGGCTTATTTAATTTTTTTTTTTTTTTGGTAGAGACAGGGTCTTACTATGTTGCCCAAGCTGGTCTCAAACTCCTGGGGTCAAGCAATCCTCTCAGCCTCCCACAGTGCTGGGATTACAGGTGTGAGCCATCGCACCCAGCATTTTTTTTTTTCCCAAATTCAAGAAAGAAGTCTCAGTGTGAATGTAGACTTCTGCATGGCAGTTCTTAACAGAAAACGGGCTAGGAGGTAGCAAGCTTTGGTTCTTAAGGACCAAAGGTATAGACAGAAGAAAAAAACTTGGAGTGGCTGGAACACAACGTACATATTTCATGTGTCTGGGTTAAGAGCTCTGTGTATAAATTATTTTGCAAGTACAGAAAAGGGCTCCAAATTCCTGAGTGGACAGAGGAAAAGTACAGACCATTATGCCTAGGTAAGTGGATGAGCATCCTTACTAATTCACTGAGGAAGTCTGAAGTACTTACTAAGCTCACAGAAATTGACTAGTCCTGGTAAGGCTCCTGTAAAGCCAACTCACCTATGCTCATGGTGGCTAAGGGGGCCACAGCAAAAACCATAACAATTTTGGGGCTTTTTCAAAAAGTGGCTCCTGAAAATAATGCAGGAGGACAGTGCTCCTGCACATAGGCTCTGAGGGTAGAGGCCACAGGCTGCAGTGTCCTGCTGGGACAGGGAAGCATGCACAGATAGTCAAAGCAGCCTTCACTCCAGGGCCTGACTCTCAGGAAAAGCAGGGCTAGGCAGCCCTGTAGGCCACGACCCTTTGCTCTGCTGTCTAGAGCAGACAGACACTCATCCAGGGAACAGTGCTGGGGGTCAGCTTGCTTACCATGTAGAAAGTGACGGATTAAAGCAGTACGCCTTCCCATCAGACAGGTTCATTACTGGGATTCCATGCTGCGTCAGCAAGATCTGTGATACCGTCATATCACTTCCTGGGGACAGCACGGGAATGAGTTCTGGGTGTGTTCTGATCAGCAAGTGTTTGCAAACACATCAAAGGAGAAATCTAAACTCTAGGCTCCCACAGTCCCAGCAGCAAATGCGTCAACACTGCCTTGGCAAATAGGGAGGGCAAGCCATTCTCCTTGCCACACACCAGGCTCTTGTCACCTCTTGGGGACCCATTCAAACATGTCCCCAAAAAGTGTGTGTCTCCTGCAGCGTAACCGCACCTCCTGCCTCACTGAGAGCTCTGTGCTGAGGCCAGAGCCTGGCTCTCTGAGCGGGGCCCTTCTGCAGCATCAGACATGAACTTGGGCCCCCAGGGGAGTAGGGGCAGCCTGTTGCCTGCATTACCTGCCAGAATGGAGTGTAGAGACTCTTCTTTCACCACAACCACCTGTCTGTGAACATCCCTAGGAGGGAGACAGGAAACAGTTTACTCACCAAGTAAACACATCAGAGTGTGCCTCAGCCGCTCAGACACCCTGGTCCCTACTGCATGCGCCCCTAACCCTGGCTGCTCCTAGTGACAGGGACTCTGGGCTACGAGTGGCTTCTGCTCTCCATGTGCCACTACACTCCCTCTGCATAAGGATGCAGCACACAGCCCAGGCAACAGAGCCACAGGGAACCCTCAGCGCCCATACCGCTTTGGGGGAAGCTGGGCCACAGCAGCCACATCAGGAACATGGCCACACTCTGCCAGCTAAGACTCCATTTATGATGAACCCCACATAGAACTCTGGTAATGCAACTGGTTGCATGAGCTGCTCCAGTAAGGAGATAATCGAGCAGGCAAGCTGCCTCCATCCCCATTGCGCAACATCCCTCAGCCCTCAGCCTACCCAGGGCACCCAACACAAGCAATATCACTAACTGCTCAGGGCCTCCTCTGGGGCCTGATGGCCAGCCTTGTCCACTGCCTTCCCTGCCCCTGCAGTGAGGTGGGGCCTGCACAGCCCTGTCCTGCCCTAGCTGGAGCCCACCCCACCCTGCGCCTGCCTCTCACCAGACAGACAGTGTGGCCGCAGCAGTAAGCGCCATGACGTAGGAGCCTGTGCAATGCAAAGTAGAGATCGGGGACGGCAGGAGGATGGGAGAGAGGAGACGGCGACCACAGGTGGAGAACACTGACAGCATCCTTTTTTCACAGGCGACACACACCACGTCACTGAGAAGACAGAGTGGGGGCAGGTGTCATGGGGGCAGCCAAGACAGTAGCCCTGGATGTGTGGGCCTTTCCTCTGCCTGGGGCCAACAAGAGCCTCCCCTGAGCAGGTACAGTCAGAGGGTAAGGTGGATTGGGTTAGGGTGGGGCTGGTGGAGCCTCCCTGAGATCTTGGATGAAAGAGGTTTCTGTCCTCTTTTCACAGGCTGCCCGTGCTTTCCTAAGCTCACGCTGATGCTGACCAAAGGGTGTGGGGGCTTTGGAGAGCAATGCCTCTGATGATCACCCAGGAAACATGCCTTGCTTATCGGATAAGGCCACATAGTACCCGCAGGACAGTCTCCTGGCTGCAACTAGTCAGACCAGTCCAGAGAAGGTCTCTAACAAGGCAGGCTAAGAGAAGTGCAGGGATGACAGCATGCACCCCTGTGTCCAAGAGGCTGTCTGGCTGGCGTGGGAGATGCATGTTGCTCTCAAACAAGGAGTGCCTTACAGAACAGTCTGGACACTGTCCAGCTTCTCCTCTGAGTGACCACCAGGCCCCTGGAAGGGCCCTGCACAAGCAGGCTGCTGCCTTCCCAGAGAGAGCCCCCTAAGGCCCAGCCACAGGCCCAGGGTGAGGCTGGAGCTTAGACCTCAGTCAGCAGTAGCAGATGTGCAACCAGTATAGTGAGATCCTGGCCACAGTAGCCACCCAGAGCCCCACTTTGTGTCAATTCTATCCTGCTAAGCCAGTTACCCCAGCAGGCTCAAGGAGGTCAGTTAAGAAAGGAGCTCTGCCAACTGCTTTCCTAATGAGACACTGTTGCTACTGGCTCCAAAAAGGGAGAGGCAAGTGAGATGCTTTTGTTTACAAATGTTTACTTGGAGAGTATGAATCAGAGAACACGCTAAGCAGCACGGGCAGCAGGAAGCTCTCCGAAGTGCTGTGACTGAATTCTTATTTCTTCTGAGACAGAGTCTCAGTCTGTCACCCAGGCTAGGAGTGTAGTGGCGTGATCTCGGCTCACTACAACCTCCACCTTCCCAGTTCAAGCGATTCTCCTACCTCAGCCTCCCGAGTAGCTGGGATTACAGGCACACGCTACCACGCCTGGCTAATTTTTGTATTTTTGGTAGAGATGGGGTTTCACTACGCTGGCCAGGCTGGTACTGTGACTGAATTCTATCTGCCCATCTCTGGTGGTCAGAGCCTGCCTCAAGTCAGTCCACTGCAAAGAAAGCCATCATTTCTGGGCTGTAACAATGGGGAGTAGGTCTGCAGGCTGGGCCTGAACTGGGCAGGACTGAGCAGAAGGGGAGGTCCCAGGTGGTCCAGCAGGCTTGCCCCACAGCTGCTATGTCACTGTGGGAGAGGCTGTGCTGACACCCCTTAGCCCTCAGCTGGGGAAGCCACCTGCCTTGGGGGGAGGGGCAGAGAGTGGGAGCCTGTGGCAGTATCTGACACACAGGTGCCTGGGACCGGGAGTTTAGCTGGCTCATCCAGAGGGGGAATTCGAGGGAGGAACAGAACAAACAGTGGGGTCCCCTAGGCCTAACAACACAAACTCACTCAGGGACCACAAGAATTGTAGTCTAAGACCTAAGGCCACATGCTTTGACACAAGTAAAAGCATTTACATGGGACCTCATGGCAGATGATTAAGGGTGTAATTACGATGACTGTATCTAAGTGGTCATGTCTATAAACCTCTGCTGAGTGTCTCCCACATGGTCCTGACTGGGACACTATATCAGGCAGGAAACTGAGGAGAAACACTGGTTCCCCTTTCATATTGAACACAGGCAGGGACAGGGCTCACATACAGTTCCAGGAACCTAGGGGAAGATACTGGGTGACTAATCACTGAATCAAGGTGCCCCTCACAGTGCAGAATCTGGAATGGGCTGGGATGGGGACTTCAGGGACAGTCAGAAATTCATCCTGACCAACTTGGATGGAAATCTGGGATCCAAAAAAGGAACCAGCTCAGGTCAAAGTGAGCCAGGCACACCTTAGCGTGGAACTCGAGACTTTGGGGATATGGCTGGACGAGGGAATCAGGCCATCAGGTTCAAAGCCTGGCCTGGGTAATCCTCAGGGGCTCAGTTTCCCCATCTATAACACAGGCATACTGACGCTGACCTTGCTGGGTGCTGCAGGGACTGAGATGGCGAGCGCATATGCCTGGCCTGGAGTGAAGCCTGGTGTGAGCCTCTGTGGGAGCTGGCGCTCCCAGGGTCATGCACGTCCCCTAGACAGACCCAGGCCCAGAATGATGGCATGTGTGCCTGTGTCACCTGGGCCGGCTAAGGACCTGCCCGCCCTTACCAGCTGCCCGCAGCAGTGAGGATCCGGCTGGTGAGTACCGTCTCCCACTCCTTCCCTTCCCGGTTGCACTTCAGGCGGCTCAGCTTCACGCCCCCCACCACTGTCACTTCATTCTCCACCTCAATGTACATGGAGGGATCGGAGCTGACCTGGATGAAGTAAACACACGGGCCTGCTCAGACAAGGGCCGCAGCCCAGGTAACATGCTCCAAGGCTCTGTAGCCTGGGGCCCCAGGGCAGCAGCAGGATATAGAGGCAGACTGGCTGGCCAACAGAGGAGGTGGAGGACAGGCGGGGCAAAGGGGCTGAGCGGGAGGCCCAGAGGGCCACACATGTGGCCCCCAGGGCAGTGAGAATGCTGGGAGCTGGTTTCTACCCTGTCATCTGTGTAGTTGAACAGCCAGAGAAGAGAAGCAGTGCCAGGGTTAAAGACCCCAAAGTCACCCAACCCTGCCACTTCATCTCACAAGGGAGTAACGTGCCCAAAAGCACACTGCAAAGGACTGAGCTGGGACTGAGACTTGGGTTTCTAGCCTCCTACTTGAAGAATCTTCAAAGATGGCAGTGTTTGGCAAGATTAGAGACCATGTCAGTGCATGGAGGGAATGTCTAGAAAACCCCCAAAGGGGCTCTCCAGTTCCTGTGGTGGTGAGACTTGGTCTGCTCAAATGAGACTAAACTGGCAGGGGTGTTTATGGCACAGCATGTATGAGAAGCACCTAGTTCAGTGTCTGGCACCAAATGGGCTCAGCCGCATGCGTGTGTGGAGAGCTGAACAACAGATTTTCCCTACGGAAAAATAGGCAGAACCACCAGTCTGTGCTTGTGCGGCCACTCAAGTGGGTGAGCTGGGCCGAGGGATGACTGCCCCCTTCACAGACCCAGAAACGACAGTCCCAAGCAGTGCTTGGAGGGGAAGATGCCTAGGGGAAGGGCTGGAGGAGTTTGGGAGAGTTCTGTGCTGAGAAGCAGGGCACCCAGGAGGGAACTTGCGTCAGAACACCTGTAAGTGCAAGAGCACATCTGAGCGCTGCTGACCATGGGAGGGCCCCTGCCTCCATTCACACCAGCAATAAGAACAAACCCTGTGGGTCCCTACCTTTTGGCTTCCCCGCTTCATTCCTCTGCACTGTGGCCCAGAAGGACCTATGGTAGGAAGGGCTGACGCCTGCTCTCTGGTGCCCTGTGAGGACCAGCCTGGGCTCAGAGCAGTGTGCAGCCAGTGGAAAGTGACCCGCACACAGGGTCCCAGAAGGCTGCTCGAGGATAGGCACCTGAGCTGAGGTACAAGGGTATGCAGACAGGCAGCAGTGTGTGTGACGGCACCACGGCAGGAGAGACCTAGATACTGTGCTGGGCCAAGTGACCAGGAGGGCTCTGGGTATAAAGGATTATTTACTCCAGAATTGTGTTTTGGGTAACCACATGCTTACAAGCTTCCATTCCAAGAGCTCAAACAACTCTGATGATGACTGCGCCGGACACTGAGAAGACAAAGCTAGCAGGATGGTTGGGAGATAGACCACGACTACACAGTCCCACAGACACCAAGCCTGAGGCTGCCCACGGCTGTGTGTGGAAATGGAGGTGGCTTCCAGTCAGGAGAGGATTCCTGAAGAGCATCAGAACATGTGGTGGTAACGGCAGCCCCAGCAGCTGGGACCCCAAGGGCAAAGCTAGACGGAGGCCATGGGTGGGTAAGAGTGGAGGCTGGCAATTTTGCTAAGAGTTGGTGCGTACCCCGACCTGCTGTGACTTCCCCTAGAAGGTGATGGAGAGCCATTGGAAACCAATCTCCAAGGAAGTGACAAGATCGGGTTTGTATGTGGTAGGGGACAGAGAATCTCTGGGTGTGCCTGATGGAGAACTGGCAGGGTCCCAGAACTTACCTGGAGGGTGAATGCTCTCTGGGGGCCTGGAATTGGCAGCTTCAGTGCAAGTGCTGGTGCAGAGAGACACATGGCCTCCTTCTCTGCGGTTAGGGCAGCTGGAGACTGGAAGAGCCAGAAACATTCCTGAGCCTTGCTCTAACACTACAGGATAGCATTTGGTAAAGGCAAGTCACCCAGAAGTGAGGCTGGGCCTACGACCAGGGCATTTCCACCCTGGGAGGGAGGAAGCAGAGGGGAGTGCTACAAGAATCCTCACCTTATAGACAAGCCAGTTGATGCCAGGGAACCTGCTCAAGGGCCCTGGGTGAGTCAAGGGCAGGTCTGAGGGAGAGTGTGGCCTCCATGCTACATTCCAGGGGCTGCATGTCTAAGCTAGCTGGTTCCCAAGGTGCCCCACCCAGCTGAGGCTTACCATGCACACAAGGCCTTCAAGCTCTAAGTGCAGAAAGGTGGGCTAAAGAAAGCAGAATGGACCCACTGGCCTCACCTGGACAGACAGAGACACAGGCATGAGACGAGAGTCCTTCCGAGGCCGCCCTTTCTTCTTCTTCTCTACTGTCTCTACCTCAAGCTCAAGTTTTCGCTTGGACAGTGAGGAAGGCTTAGCCAAAGGGACTTTCTCATCGCTGTCACTGCTGCTCTCCAGGAGGTCTCGGGGCCTCAGCTCTTTCACAAGGTTCTGCTCTTTTAACCTGCACAAAAACATTACATCACACTTCCCTTCAGAAACCATTCATGCAAGAAAGAGTGAAGTGAAATATTTAAAGTGCTTCAACAAACCTCTTGCCAACCTAGAATTCTGTGTCCAGTGAAATTATGCCTCAAAAATAAAGGAGAAATAATGACTTTGTCAGACAAAAATAAACAAAGAGACACCGGAATCTGTTGCCAGAAGACCTGCCTTGCAAGAAATGTTAAAAGTCTTTCAGAGAGAAGATAAATGATGCAGGCCAGAAACTCACATCTGCATGAAGAAAGGAAGAGTGTTAGAGAAAAAAAAAACGAACATAAAATAGAATATTTTATATTTCCTATTCCCAATTGATCTAAGAGACAACTTTCTGTTCAAAGAAATAACAGCCACCATGTCTTGAATGACTATAGTTTATGAATGAGTGAAATAAGTGGTACCAATGTCATAGGGCAAGGAAGGAAAGAGAGGGGAACTTTTTCTACTACCCATGAAGTGGTATATTATTATTTGAAAGTAGAATTAGGTTATAAATGTTTATGGTAAACTCTAGAGCAATCACTAAAAAATTATTTTAAAGCATAATTAATAATGCTGAGAGAAGAGAAACTTTATTTTTATTTTATTATTATTTTTTTGGAGATGGATTTTCACTCTTGTCGCCCCGGATGGAATGCAATGGCGTGATCTTGGCTCACTGCAACATCCGCCTACCAGGATCAAGTAATTCTCCTGCCTCAGCCTCCCAAGTAGCTGAGATTACAGGTGTGTGCCACCACGCCTGGTTAATTTTTGTATTATTAGTAGAGAAGGGGTTTTACCATGTTGGCCAGGCTGGTCTCAAACTCCTGACCTCAGGTGATTTACCTGCCTCGGCCTCCCCAAGTGCTGGGATTGCGGGCGTGAGCCACCGTGCCTGGCTGAGAAAACTGAGTCATATAAAATACTCAGTTAAAACCAGAGAAGGCAGAAAAAGAAGATAAAAAAAAAGTGAAGATTAAAAAAAAGAATAAGGCCAGGCATGTGGCTCACGCCTGTAATCCCAGTACGTTGGGAGGCTGAGGTGGGTGGATCACCTGAGGTCAGGAGTTCAAAACCAGACTGGCCAACATGGCGAAACCCCTTCTCTACTAAAAAATACAAAAATTAGCTGGGCATGGTGGCAGGTACTCGTAATCCCAGCTACTGGGGAGGCTGAGGCAGAAGAATCACTTGAACCCAGGAGGCAGAGGTTGCAGTGAGCTGAGATGGTGTGCCATTGCACCCCAGCCTGGACAACAGTGAGACTCCATCTCGGAGGAAAAGGAAAAAAAAAAAAAAAGAATAAATGCTAAAACATGGCAGATATTAATACAACTATATCAATCAACTTTAAATGTGAAAGCTCTGAATATACCAATTAAATACAAAGACTGACAAAATGGATAAAAAAGCAAAATGTTTTTAAGAAATGGGTTTATGTGGCCAAGCGCCATGGCTCATGACTGTAATCCCAGCACTTTGGGAGGCCGAGGCGGGTGAATCACCTGAGGTCAGGAGATTGAGACCGTCCTGGCCAACACGGTGAAACCCCATCTCTACTAAAATACAAAATATTAGCCGGGTGTGGTGGTGTGCACCTATAGTCCCAGCTACTCGGGAGGCTGAGGCAGGGGAATCACTTGAACCCAGGAGGCAGAGGTTGCAGTAAGCCAAGATCGTACCATTGCACTCCAGCCTGGCGACAAAGTAAGACTCCGTCTCAAAACTCCGTCAAAAAAAAAAAAAAAAAAAAGAAAAAACAAATGGGTTTATGTTTTTTAAAATTTAATTTTAACTACAAAAGACAAGGACAGATTAATAGTAGATGCACACAGTGGCTCATGCCTATAGTCCTAGCTACTTGGTAGGCTGAGGCAGGAGGATCGCTTGAGTCCAGGGGCTTGAGAGCAGCCTGGGCAAAATAATGAGACCCCATCTCTAAGAGTAAAAAATAAGTAAATAAATAAATACAAGAAAAGGGGTGATTCTAACTATATGACAACCTGGAACAGGCAAAACTATGGAGACAATAAAAAGATCAGTGGTTTCCAGGGGTTGGGGAGAAGGAGTATCTATATGAAGCACAGGATTTTTAAGGCATTGAAACTATTCTGACTGGGTGTGGTGGCTCTTGCCTGTAATCCCTGCACTTTGGGAGGCCAAGTTGGGCAGATCACTTGAGGTCAGGAGTTCGAGACTGGCCTGGCCAACATGGTGAGACCCCATCTCTACTAAAAATGCAAAAATTAGCCAGGTGTGGTGGCGCACGCATGTAATCCCAGCTACTCGGGAGGCTGAGGTAGGATAATCGCTTGAACCTGGGAGGCGGAGGTTGCAATGAGCCAAGATGTGACTGTGCCACCACACTCCAGCCTGGGCAATACAGCGAGACTCTGTCTCAAAAGAAACCAAAAAACTATTCTGTAAGATATGATAATGATACATATATGTCATTATACATTGGTTAAACCCATACAATGTACAACATCGAGAGTAGACCCAAATGTAAACTATGGACTTTGGGTGATGATGTGCCCCATTCTGGTGGGGGATGCTGACAGTGGGGGATGCTATGGGTGTGTTGGGCGGGGGGCATATGGGAACTCTTTGTATTTCCTGTTCAATTTAGCTGTGAACATAAACTGTTCTAACAAATAAAGTCTATTTAAAAAAAAAAAAAAGCAGGGACTGGAGAAAGACATGCCATAACACTAATCAAAAAAAGCTGATGTAGTTACATAACATAAGCAAAGCAGGCATCAGAGCCAGTAAAGTTATCAAGGATAAAGAGGGACATTACACAGTGATAAAGATGAAGGAGAACAATTCTGAATAAGTACAGAAGCACACCTCGTGTTACTGTGCTTTACTTCATTGTGCTTCACAGAGACTACGTTTTTTTTACAAGTTGAAGGTTTGTGGCAACCCTGCATCAAGCAAGTCTATTGGTGCCATTTCCCCAACAGCCGGTGCTCATTTCATGTCTCTGTGTCACATTTTGACAATTCTCACAATATTTCAAACATTTTCATTCTTACTGGATCGGTTTTGGTGATCTGCCATTAGTGATCTTTCATGTTAGTTTTGTAATTGTTTTGGGGCACTGTGAACCACATCCATGTAAGATGGTGAACTTAATCAATAAATGGCATTTATGTTCTGATTGCTCCACCAACTGGTTGTTCCCCTGTCTCCCTTCCTCTCCCCAGGCCTCCCTATTATCTGAGACACAACAATATTGAAATTAGGCCAGTCTATAACCCTACTCTAAGTGTTAAACCAAAAGCTAAAAATGATTAAGCTTAAAGAGGAAGGCACATTGAAAGCTGAGACAGGCCAAAAGCTATACCTTTTGCACCAGTTAGCCACGGTGTGAATGCAATGGAAAAGTTCTTAAAGGAAGTTAAAAGTGCTACTCCATTGAACACATGTTTGAAAATAAAACAAAACACCCTTATTGCTAATATGGAGAACGTTTTAGTACTCTGGATAGAAGATCAAACCAGCCATAACACTCCTTAAGCCACAGCCTAAGCTAGCAGAGGTTGGCTCATGAGGTTTAAGGAAAGAAATGGCAAGGTGAAGCAGCAAGTGCTAATGTACAAGTTGCAGCAAGGTATTAGAACATCTAGCTAAGATCATGGATGAAGGTGGTAACACTAAACAACAGATTGTCAGTGTAGGTAAAACAGCCTTCTATTGGAAGAAGATGTCATCTGGGACTTTCCTAGCTAGAGAAGGGAAGTCAATGCCTGGCTTCAAAGTTTCAGAAGACAGGCTGGTTATCTTATTAGGGATGAATGCAGCTGGTGATTTTAAGTGGAAGCCAATACTCATTAACTATTCCAAAAATCCTAGGGCCCTTAAGAATTATGCTAAATCTATAAATGCAACAAGAAAGCCTAGATGACAGCACATCTGTTTAGAGCATGGTTTACTGAATATTTTAAGCCCAATGTTGACACCTACTGCTCAGAAAAAAAGATTCCTTTCAAAAGATTCCTGCTCACTGGCAATGCACTTGGTCAACCAAGAGCTCTGACAGAGATAAATGTTTTCATACCGACTAACACAACACACATTCTGCAGCCCATGAACAAGGGGCATTTTCATCTTTCAACTTTCATTACTTAAGAGGTACATTTTTGCCTGTAGTCCCAGCTACCTGGAGGCTGAGGCAGGAGGATTGTTTAAGTCCAGAAGTTCTGAGCTATAGTGCGCTATGTCAATTGGGTGTCCACACTAAGTTTAGCATCAGTATAGTGACCTTCTGAGAGCAAGAGACCACCAGGTTGCCTAAGGAGAGGTGAACTGCCCAGACTGGAAACAGCAGGTCAAAACTCTTGTGTTGATAAGTAGTGGTACTATG